TCGTCTCATGATGCTGGGTTCCTCATCAGTAACCGGCGATTGATAAGCAGAAAATGAGTGCCCTTCATCTGCATGCCATGCAGGCTAGAATTGCGAAACATTATTGGATAATTCGCTCTATTCGCGTTTGATGTGAACACAGCATAATGAACAGGCTGCGATGTCAAGATTGCAATGCTGGAGTGTGTGTGTGTGTGTCCGACTCCGCGCGTGCGAGAGAGAGAGGCACGAGAGAGAGAGACACGCGGGCGCGATCGAACATTGGAGACATAAAAACATACTCCGTCATTTTGTTACAGGACATCAGTCAGTCTGCAAAGTGTTTACAATATTTGTGTAGGCCTATACTCGCAATAAAACACAACATTGTCCTTTTGTCACACTGTATTTCTTGTCAAACTGTAGCCTACAACTGTACACACCGTTTTAAAAGCAAAACATATTTATCCAACCCCTTTGTAAAACAGTCTGTGTGTTCCATCTTTTGGACATTCATCATATCACATTGGTTTTCATTTCTTGCCCTCAAAACAGAGCACTAATCTGTTTATTTTTAAGTTACACATTGATTAAAAAAGAAAATTAAATTTGTTGGTAGTATTATTTTCTACGGAAATCAATTATTTATAATTCTGATGAGAATAAAGTTAGGGTTAATTAAAATTAAGGAAAACAAATATATTGATCTGAAATATAGCAAATTAATTTTAAATTCATTCAGGTACAATTACCAAACATATCTCATATCTATCTTTTTATTAGTTTAATTAATAAACCAATTATATAAAACTATTATCAGTGCACTATAAATAAACTGGTTCTATGCCTTTATTAATAAAACTTATTTAAAAAATACAAGGCTTAAGACATTTATAAAAATGCCTTCTATATTTCTGTTTTGCTTTTCACTCCATTGTACCGAAGCGTGATGTCTAAAAAAAAAAAAATCAAGCAGGGGGCACGTACTGTAGGAGCCATACACTGGGTTTGTTTGGGCTTTTATTATGTTTTCTCTTTTCTTTGCACTACTTGTGTACATGCACGCGCTTCATGACGTCATCGGTTACTGTGGGCGTGACCGGGGGTGTGGTGTCTGTATTAATGTGTGTGTGTGTGTGCTCACCTGTGGGCAAGCTTGGGTTTGGATTATGGCTGCAGGGTGAGCATGGGGAGAAACTTTCTGTTGAACGTTACCACTGTTGTTCCCATCGATACTAACATCTATCACTGATGTCTCTGAGGTACCGTTGCACTGCTTACAACATGCATCACTCAAAGTAAGTGATTGGTTTTCTATGTATGTGAAATCGCGTAATAAAGAGATTTAATACGTACAATGGTTCAGCGTGACGCGTCTTCAGTGTAAATCCTCATGTTTCAGCCTGCTGCGGCGTTCGAGTTGTTTTGGTTGGTTTTGTTTTTATTTTAGTAATATACGCCGCAATATTTGTCAACAGAAACTTGTTTGTTGCGCGGATTTAAACGTATTGTCGGGACAACACTGGATGTTTGCGATCGTTTCCAATGTTGAATGCGATCGACGAGCCAGCGCATTAGGACTCGCGTAAGCCCATTCATTCACAAATTGGCTGTTACTATGCTTAGTTTGTCATCACAGTTGTCTTTTATTACAAGGTCTAAACATTGAACATTGTGGATTGTCTTTTAGGAATCAATTGCATTCCCTGTTAGGCTCAGCGGTACTTTCGCATAAGGTGATTGGACTGTTTGTTTGTTTTGGGACTTTTTTGCAGTGTTTTTGTTCGTGTGTCAAGCGGGTGAAGCATTGCGCTTGGGAGTGCCGCCGTAGTTCTGGTTCTAAGACGATCAGTCTGGTTCAAGACTATCGGTATTTAGGTACATAAATACCCACCGCTAGTATGCACAGAAGACTAGGGTTGAGTTAGTTTAGCTTCAGTGAATAAGTTAGAGGGAATCAATGACAACGCATTGTACCTTGTTCATATGGAAACGTAAGTTATAAAAAGGGTGCTGTTTTTAGCATTTTATTAGCAGATATTTCTGGGCATTATTGGATTATTTTGTAAACGAAAATGGAGTCGACTGGTACCAGGTCAACTGAGAAAAGACAAGTAAAACTTACACCCAAGGCTTTTGAATATAAATTGGAACGGCTCCAAGAAGAACGCCAAGCAAAGGTAAGAAAAATTAAAGATGCAATAAGAGAAATTAAAGACCTAATGCAAAGTGTTGGAAATGCTGAAAAAATACGGTCTTGTCTTGAAAGTTTGTCGAGTTTGTTCACAGAAGCAAGTCATATTCATGGTGTTGTGGTTCCTATGCTCCCACCTGAGGAACAAGAAAAACAAAATGCTTGGTTTTACAGTGTTGAAGACCATAAAACTGCTTTTGTGGAGGAGACAAATAAATGGCTGCTGGAGGCGCCAGAGGCACCAGCAGAGGGCGTTGTTGCACCATGTTTAGGATCTGCTGTTTTCGACGATGAGGCATGTATAGGTAAACCTGTGGAAAATGTAGATGACGACGTTAGGCCAAGTGATAGTGTGTCTAATGTGTCATTGAGGTCAAAGAGATTCAGTACAGTAGTGAGTAAACCCATGTCTACTACATCATCAGCCAGAATAAGAGCTGAGGCTGAGACGGCTGCTCTTATGGCTCGTCAAAAGCTGCTGAGCAAGAAGCATGCCCTGGAGGAACAGCAGGAAGTGTTGAGGAGAAAGAAGGAGGTGCTGGAGATGGATATGGAGCTGGCAGCGTCTATGGCTAAAATGAGTGTGTTCAAGGTTTCAGAAGGATCTCGTGCGTCTCATGTTTCTGTGGAATTAGATGGGATGAACTCTTATGTGGAAAGAGGGAAAAGCACACAGTTGAGCCATGAAGCTGCAATCTTTGTGCCTGAGTTTAATACTCAACCATTGGTGTCAGAGTTGGTAGATGACGTTTCGTGTCCAAGTTATGCTTCTGTGAGGTCCAAAACATATAACACAAGCCAGTTGCCTACTGCTGCGACCTCGGCCGGTCGGTTAACTTTGCCTACTCTGCCTGCTGCTGTGACTAGAGTTGATCAGCATACTTTGCCAGAAGGTGTTTCTAATCCACCCATTACTCACCTTCAGTATGGAGCTGCACCTGTAACCGTGAGTGATTCCGATCAGCGTTTTCTCACAGTTTTAGAAAGGCAAAATCAAATCACGTCTTTATTGGTTGGACAACAGTCACTTTTTCTCTTGCCTAAGCGAGATCTACAAGTTTTTGATGGAGATCCACTGCAGTATCAAACTTTCATAAGAGGATTTGAACACAACATTGAAGCGAGAACACAAAGTCAGACGGATTGTTTGTATTACCTCGAACAGTATACGAGAGGTCAGCCCAGGGATTTGATCCGGAGTTGTCAACATCTGCCTCCGTCCCATGGTTATAGTAAGGCAAAATCACTACTTCAGGAGCATTTTGGGGATCCATTTAAGGTAGCTTCTGCCTATATGGACAAGGTGCTTTCCTGGCCGATGCTTAAGGCCGAAGATGTCAAGGCTTTACGGGCCTACAGTTTATTGTTGCGGGAATGCTGCAACTCTATGGGAGTTTCTGCAAGTGACCTGAACGTACCTACGAATATGCAAATCATTGTGAAAAAACTGCCTTATAAGCTGAGGGATTATTGGAGAAGTGTGGCCTGCGATATTTATGAGAAGTTTCATCGTAGAGCTACGTTCTCAGATATTGTAGAGTTTGTTGAGAGGCAAGTCAAGATGGCGAGTGACCCTCTTTTTGGAAATATACAAGAGACATTTGCGAGTGGAAGAAATGAAGTAAAAATGGTTCGGTCTCAACCTAGTTCAAAGGTTAGAGGCAGTAGTTTTGCTACTACTGTAGCACCTGCTGAGAATAATATGGAGCCTGGGTTTAAAAGGGAGAAGAACTCGCTAGCGAAGTTTTGTTTGTTTTGTGGGGCTGGGCATTCGTTAGATGCTTGTTTCAGTTTGGATAAAAGAACACAAGATGAGAAAATTTCCTTTTTGAAGGAGAACCGTATGTGTTTTGGATGTCTGTGCGTCGGACACATGAGTAAAGACTGCCGAAAACGTATGACATGTAAAGTATGCAATAATAGGCATCCCACGTTGTTGCATATCCACCCCACAGCAAAACCAACGAGTCCGACTCAGGCCAATGGTGGCTTGAATATGGCCAGAGACGGTGCTGTGGTGTCTGTTCAGTCTAGTGGCTTGACTGGGGCCGGTAAGCAGGATTGTACGCTCTCTATCTTACCTGTTCAAGTGAAATCTAAGAGGGGGCAAGAGACCGTGGTCACGTATGCGTTTTTGGACCCAGGGAGTACCGCCTCGTTTTGTACAGAGCGACTCATGACTCGACTCAATCTTACAGGGAAGAAGTTGGGAATTCTCCTTAGGACTATGGGACAAGAGAAAGTGGTTGACAGTTACAAGTTGTCAGACTTGGAGGTCGCCGGGCTGGACTCGAACAACTTCTGTGGCCTGTCTGAGATTTTTACTCAACAGAACATGCCGGTTCATCGAGGTAACATTCCAAGCTCAAAGGACCTTCAAAGATGGCCGCACCTAAGACACATAAAGATACCAGAGATCAATTCTGATGTGGATCTTCTGATTGGCACTAACGTTCCTCAAGCTCTGGAACCGTGGGAGGTGGTTCGTGCAGAGAATGGGGGCCCTTATGCGATTAAAACCATCCTGGGTTGGACGGTGAATGGCCCGCTTCATGGAGATTGTCATATCAATGAACAATGTTTGCAGCCTGACATTACAGTTAATCGGATCTCAGTGGCGAGGCTTGATGAGCTTTGGGAGAAGCAGCTGAAGGTGGATTTCCCTGAAACTCTGCAGGATGAACAACCTGGTCTGTCAGTGGAGGATAAGCGCTTCAATGAGTTGGTCTCAGAGTCTACTAAGCTCATTGATGGTCATTATAATATTGGTTTGCCGGTGAAGCAAAGACACTTAAAAATGCCAAACAATAAGACAGTGGCAGAACAGCGTGCATTGAGTCTTAAAAGACGTTTGAATAAGGATCCATCTTTTAGCAACGATTACATCGCATTCATGTCCAAGATGTTGGTTAACGGTTATGCAGAGAGAGTTCCAACCGAGCAGTCGACCCGTTGTGATGGAAGGGTATGGTATATACCTCATCATGGGGTGTATCATCCTAAGAAAAAAAAACTGCGGGTAGTCTTTGATTGTGGAGTGACGTTTCAGGGGACATCGTTGAACTCACAGCTTCTTCAGGGACCTGATCTCACAAACTTGTTAGTGGGAGTGCTTACACGATTCCGTAAAGAACCTGTAGTGCTCATAGGAGATATTGAGGCCATGTATCATCAGGTCCGAGTGCCGGCTGAAGACTCTGATCTGTTAAGGTTCTTGTGGTGGCCTGATGGAGATTGCAGTCGGGAGCTGGTGGAGTATAGAATGACGGTACACCTGTTTGGTGCTACTTCCTCTCCTAGTTGTGCCTGTTTCGCCCTGAGGAAGTGTGCTGAAGACAATCAAAGGTTCTTTAGTTCTAATGCAGTTAACACGGTCTTGCATCATTTCTACGTTGATGATTGTTTGGTGTCCATTGGCTCTGAAGAGGAAGCAGTCTTTCTACGTCGAGAGCTTAGTGCCTTGTGTGCGGAAGGTGGGTTTAAGCTCACAAAATGGGTTAGCAACCGACGCACTGTTCTCGCTACTATTCCTCAGGATGAGCGCGCTAAGGAGGTGAAAGATTTGGATTTGAATAGTGATGCTCTGCCCATAGAGTATGTCTTGGGTGTACAGTGGTGTGTTCAATCTGACTCATTCAAGTTTAAAATCACACTCAAAACTCATCCACTCACAAGAAGAGGAATCTTGTCTGTGACGAGTTCGATCTATGACCCTCTTGGTTTCTTGGCACCTGTTGTTTTGTCCGCCAAGAAAATCCTCCAAGACCTCTGTAGGAGAAGTTTGGGATGGGACGAACCTTTGCCCTCTTCAGTGACTAAAGAATGGACGGCTTGACTGGAAGAGCTTCACGAGCTTGAAAGTTGGGAAGTTAGTAGATGTTTAAAGCCTTTGGACTTTGGTTTTCTTGTCTCTGCTCAACTTCATCACTTTGCAGACGCAAGTGAGGAAGGGTTTGGGACTGTGACTTACCTGTTGCTCCATGATGATAGAGGTCGAACCCACAGTGTATTTATAATGGGAAAGGCACGAGTAGCTCCTTTAAAACTTGTCACCATTCCCCGGATGGAGCTGACTGCCGCGGTGATGGCTAGCAGAATGGACAAGTTGTGGAGGAAGGAGCTGCAAATGGACCTTCAAGAGTCGGTTTTTTGGACGGACAGCACTTCTGTTCTGAAATATATAAACAACGTGACGTCCAGATTTAAAATCTTCATATCAAACAGAGTGTCTGAAATATTGAAAATATCCAATGCATCCCAATGGAGGTATGTGAATACGTTAACCAACCCTGCAGATCTAGCCTCCAGAGGTGTTAAAGTTCAGTCATTGCTAAAGACTGGTGCATGGCTCTGTGGTCCTGATTTCCTTCATGAGCCTGAGAGTAGTTGGCCCCAAAATCCTGAGACCTTGGAAAACACTCTGATTGGAGACCCGGAGGTCAAGGCTGTGATGGTGAATGCGGCTCAGGTTGAGCAGGTCAGTCCAGTGGAGAAGCTCATTGATTACTTTTCCTCCTGGCTCCGTCTTAAAAGGGCTGTTGGTTGGCTTCTCAAGGTTAAGACCTTACTTTTGTCTCTGGTACGACATCGAAAGCTGCTGAGAGGAAACCTTTCTGAATTGGACCAAAGTTCTGAGCAGTTGGAAAAAGAGCTACAGGTCCAGATGGAAGGATTTAAGGCTCAAGTGCCAAAGGGTGTTCTGTCTATGGAGGATATGGTTGTAGCGGAGTCAAGTATTATCTGTTTTTGTCAAAAAACAATGTTTCCGGAGGAACTGGCCAATTTGAAGAAAGGAGAGTGCGTAAGGAGGACGAGCCACCTCTACAAGCTCAACCCGATCCTGGATGGTGATCTCATTAGGGTTGGAGGACGGCTTAGTAGAGCAGCTATGCCAGCTGAAGCAAAACATCCAGTTATACTGGCTAAAGATAAACACATCTCCAATCTTATTCTCCGTCATGTACACCAAGTAACAGGCCATGGTGGACGAAACCACATGCTTTCTCATCTGCGTCAGAAATATTGGATTCCTGGTGCTTGTGCCGCCATCAGAAAGGTTTTGGCTAAGCGTGTCATCTGTCGTAGATTGTCTGCTTCACCTGGACATCAGAAAATGGCTGACCTTCCTTACAACAGAATAACTCCTGATGAGCCTCCCTTCAGTCGAGTTGGTTTGGACTGTTTTGGACCATTTGAAGTTAAACGTGGAAGAGCTGTGGTCAAGAGGTATGGACTCATTTTCACGTGCTTAGCGATGCGAGCCATACATCTTGAAGTTCTGTCTTCTTTGGACACAGACTCCTTCATTAATGGTTTCAGAAGGTTTTTGGCGAGACGTGGTCAAGTCTTGGAAATCCATTCGGATAATGGCACTAACTTTGTGGGCGCTGAGCGTGAATTGAGGAATGCCATTGAGAATCTGAATCATAACCTCATCAATGACGTGCTGTTACAAAAGAATGTGAAATGGGTTTTTAATCCCCCAACAGCATCCCACCATGGAGGTGCTTGGGAAAGGCTAATTCGGTCAGTCCGTAAGGTGCTAAACTCTATTTTGAAGACTCAGACACTGGATGAAGAAGGCTTGGTGACAGTGTTCTGTGAGGCTGAAGCTATTGTTAATAGCCGCCCTTTAACCAAGGCATCAACAGATCCTCAAGACTTGGAGGCCTTGACTCCTAACCATCTACTTCTGCTTAAGTCGCAATCGCTGTTGCCACCAGGATTGTTCGAGAAGGAGGATGTTTATGCTCGCCGTCGCTGGAAGCAAGTGCAGTATATGTCGGATTTGTTCTGGAAGCGCTGGGTGAAGGAATACCTTCCTGGACTTCAGGAGCGCCAAAAGTGGAATACTGCCAAAAGAAACTTTGCCCCAGGGGATCTCGTGGTGCTGGTGGACGATATGGCACCTCGCAATGCTTGGATTACAGGAAGAATTGTGGATACTGTTCCGGACAAAAATGGACTGGTGCGAAGTGTACGGATTAAAACTAAGACAACGTATCTGACAAGGCCAATAACCAAAGTCTGCCTTCTGCAGGAAGCAGAGGAGCAGTGAAGATCTTTGGATATAGCGGACATGAACTTTGACATTAACAGGACCTTTAAAGGACTAACATTTCACTTTGCATTTCTAACTGGTGTTTGTCTCCCACAAGAGGGTTGTAGTGGTGGTCAATTATTACTATAAAATAATTGGGGGCCGGAATGTAGGAGCCATACACTGGGTTTGTTTGGGCTTTTATTATGTTTTCTCTTTTCTTTGCACTACTTGTGTACATGCACGCGCTTCATGACGTCATCGGTTACTGTGGGCGTGACCGGGGGTGTGGTGTCTGCATTAATGTGTGTGTGTGTGTGCTCACCTGTGGGCAAGCTTGGGTTTGGATTATGGCTGCAGGGTGAGCATGGGGAGAAACTTTCTGTTGAACGTTACCACTGTTGTTCCCATCGATACTAACATCTATCACTGATGTCTCTGAGGTACCGTTGCACTGCTTACAACATGCATCACTCAAAGTAAGTGATTGGTTTTCTATGTATGTGAAATCGCGTAATAAAGAGATTTAATACGTACAATGGTTCAGCGTGACGCGTCTTCAGTGTAAATCCTCATGTTTCAGCCTGCTGCGGCGTTCGAGTTGTTTTGGTTGGTTTTGTTTTTATTTTAGTAATATACGCCGCAATACGTACGATCACAAACCCCCACCACCCACGTCCCGCCGCGCCACTGTCACCTTTTTTACTCTGAGGAGTTTGCAGGTCTGATTGTGAATTTAGACTTATGTTTACATTTTAATTATTTGAGTTTTCCATGGTTGTGTTGACATTTCTTTCTTGGGATTGTAATCAGAGGAAGGTTAAGTTTAAAATAAAAATGTTTAAATGTAATATATTTTTTCTCCTGGTCCTTATTTTAAATGGGTCATAAAAAAATCAATAATTATCGATATCGACCGATATGAAACACTGATATCGTGATACAGTTTTCAGCCATATCGCCCAGCCCTAAGAAGCATATGACTATACAGGAAGTAAATGCTGAATTGAGTCAATTCTCAATAGGCCAAAATGATAAAGCAAACAAACCATCCAAGCTTTCTGAGAAAATGTTACAGAATTCTAGCATCTCAGGATCAGCCTCACAGAAATGGTGCTTATTCAGGGTTTTACCCTTTTCGATTGCACACCACATTCTGAATATTGGAATGTTTATCTTCTATGTCGAGAAATTGCAGATATTGTTATGGCACCAGTAAAAAGAGAAAGCCTCTCGATTCTTGATTTGAAAGTGAAAGAGTTCTTACAAGAGTTAAAAGATGTATTTGATGTCATCACACCCAAGTGTCATCATCTAATTCATTATGCCAGACTCATTTCATCTTATGGTCCGCTGCGTCCACTTTGGTGTATGCGTTTTGAAAGTAAGCATCAGTACTTTAAAACTGTATCCAGCACCTGTAGAAACTTCATTAACATCGCTGCTTCACAGATTCAAACAGTGTTGTGAGTTTTCATCAGAAAGCATGTTGTGTGATTATGAAAAAGTGACTGAACGAGTGTGAGCACTTACATCTTTACCCAGAGAGCTTCAAAATACACTTAAAAGATACAAAAGTTGTCAAGCCATAGATTTTGCAGGTAAAAAATTAATTTAAAAGTCTAAATTGTATTGTGAATAGCTTGTGAATTTTTATTGTAGATGGAGAATTAAATTGACATATTGTGACATTTTAGTGTAATTGTTTTATAAAATGTTTTGTAGCAATTGGAGAAATGTTTTTTTTTTTAAGTTCTGTTAAAAATATTTTTGAAATCTCCATTGTAAACTGTAAAGATGTATTTACACAAAAGAAATGTTTAACCTGGAACAAAGTATTAATTTAAACACATGTATTTGATGTGTATTGTTTCTGATATTAAATTGATGCCTTTTGGGATCCGTTGTTGAATGTGTTGAATGTTATTCAATAGAAAAATGGCCTTTAATAGTTGAATATTTGAAGGAACACATTTGACACAGTAAAGGTACAAAAGGGCTTGTCACTGGGCTGGTCCTTAAAGGATCAAATTTGTTCCCAAGATTAAGGTACAATATAGTACCAGTAAGTTTTTTAAAAAAAAAAGTAAATTTTGGTTCTCCATGGTACAAATCATGTCCTTAAGGTACAAACTGTAATGGTACAAATTTGTTTCTTAACATTAAGGTACAATTCTGTACCAGTAAAAGGTACCGCTCCAGTGACCAGGGTTTGTACCTTCTTTAGTACAAAATTTTACTTTTTTTCCCGAGAGTGTAGTAATGTAGTATATTACTTATTTACTGAAGAACTTGGGCATACATGTGTGGTTCTGTGATAAGTTTATTTTTGTTGTATAATTTGTTAATGTATACATATATTCCACAAACATAAACATCCATTTAAATAATTAAAGAGTATTCAGTCTACATGTATAAATAATACTGCAATTAATAAAGTTTTATGAACCATATTGAGTTGTTATTCTGTCCATCTCCACAAGAGGGCGCTATCCGCGTGTGAATGATAATTGCACATTAATAATCATCTCTAAATCGCACTTATATTATGATGCATGAGATATTCACAAGCATCTCACATCAACATAATGTAGAAACACTCTAGACTGCATGGACTCACACAGGTAGTATACAAGCTATAGGCTAGGCTATGTGCTAATTGGCTACTTTTCATAACAAAAGAATCAGCAGACGATCTCTCAACATTAAGCAGGAAATACAGGTCCTTCTCAAAAAATTAGCATATTGTGATAAAGTTCATTATTTTCCATAATGTAATGATAAAAATTAAACTTTCATATATT